GGGCGGGGCCAGGGACAGGAGGCGGGGCTAGGCCAGGGACAAAGTGTCGGGGCGGGGCCAGGGACAGGAGGCGGGGCTAGGCAAGGAAAAAAGTGTCGGGGCGGGGCCAGAGGCAGGAGGCGGGGCCAGGCAAGGGGAAAAGTGTCGGGGCGGGGCCAGAGGCAGGAGGCGGGGCTAGGCAAGGGACAAAGTGTCGGGGCGGGGCCAGGGACAGGAGGCGGGGCTAGGCCAGGGACAAAGTGTCGGGGCGGGGCCAGAGGCAGAAGGCGGGGCTAGGCAAGGGGAAAAGTGGGGGCGCCCCCGAGGAGCGGGGCCAGACGCCCGCGGTCCCTACCTGTGTACTGCTGGACTCCAGAGAAGGCAGGATGCAGGGTCTCGGCCACAGTGGGGCTCTGAGCTGCGGGGCAGACGGAGGGACTCAGCGGGCGGGGCCGGAAGTCTTCCATCCACCCCATCCTTAAACGCCCGCCCCATCCTCGCCTCTGCAGGTGTGGTCTCCGTTTTACAGGTGAAGAAACTGAGGCCCAGACCGATGAAGCCGTTCGCACAGGGCCAGACGGGAGACGGCAGGAGCTGAGCTGGAGTCCGGGTTTCTTGGGCTCCAGAGAGGATGGACCATCACCTCCATCCGCTCTCCCGTATCCCGACCCCTCCTCTCTCAAGGGGACTCTTCGCCCCCCCATTCTGGGGGTTCATGAGGACTTCCGCCTCAGTCTAAATCCTCACCTGCCCCCACCCCCTGCCCCGACACCCTAGGATCCGCCATCCAGCCGTGGCCTTCTCGCTGCTGCTGGGGAAAGAGGCGGGGGTGGGGGGCGTGCAGGCCACCAACGCTGGGGATGAGTCAGGGGAAAATTCGGCCAAAAGATTCTGCTGGGAGGGAGAGGATGGAGGTGGGCGGTGGTGGCTGTGATGATAACAAAGTGGCATGAAGGAGTCCCTCTGTGGTGACAGAGCAGTTCTGTGTGTTGACTGTGGTGGTTATGAATCTCTGTCTGTGGCGAAATGGCAGAGAAATGCACATGCGGAGAAACACACGAGAGATTGTAAAAAATGGTGAAATCCAAATAAGGCCAGGAGTTGCACTGTGTTGCACACGGTCAGGCACGGTGGCTCCCCACCATTTTGGGAGGCCGAGGCAGGAGGATCGCTTGAGGCCAGAGTCCGAGACCAGCCTGGGCAACATAGTGAGATCTCAACTCTAAAAAAAAAATTTTTTTTTAAATGAGCTGAGGCTGGGCACATTGGCTCACACCTGTAATTCCAGCACTTTGGAAGGCCAAGGTAGGGGGATCTCTTGAGCCCAGGAGTTCAAGACCAACCTGGGCAACATCGTGTAAACCTTGTCAGTACAAAAAATTAAAAATTTAGCCAGGCATAGTGGCACATGCCTGTGGTCCCAGCTACTTGGGAGGCTGTGACAGGAAAATCACTTGAGCCCAGAAGGATGAGGCAGCAGTGAGCTATGATCACACCACTGCACTACAGTCTGAGTGACAGAGCCAGACTCTGTCTCCTAAAAAACAAAAAAATTGTGCCACGCCAATGTCAGTTTGCTGGTTTTGATCATGTCCTATGGTTAGGTAAGCCATTAGCCTCCGGGAGCCTCCACTCACTAAAAAAAAAAAAATTAAAACAAGTCAGGCATGGTGGCTCATGCCTGTCATCCTCAGCACTTTGAGAGATCAATGCAGGAAGATTCCTTGAGGCCAGGAGTTGAGAGGCTGCACTGAGCTATGATTGTGCCCTGCACTCCAGCCTGTCTCTAAAAAGAAAAAAAAAAGTAAACTTAATTAAAAGAAAAATGTTAAACGCAAATTCTCCTCCATGGTGGAGCTGCAGCTGACTGACTTCCCATAAATAAATAAGGTGCCCTGAAATCATGGTGGAGGGTAGAGAATGCAAGACTTCTGTTTCATGAGGGCAGGTGTGGCCCAAACGAGTCCATGGTCAGCGCTGACTCCATGAATGAATGGACACAGGTATGATATGAATGCACACAGAATGAATGCATCTTCCCAGATGGTGGGAGATTCATGGTGCCGTCTTGTACCAGGTGATGTGTTAAGCACTGTATAGACTGATTGCATTTTCTGTGCCACCTCAGGAGGTCACTGATGTCACCAGCTCCATTTCCCAGATGAGGCTCAGAGACTCAATCCCTCCAGGCCCACCGATCTGGAGTCTGAAGCAGAAATGCCCAAATGCACGGGTCCTGTGTCTGACCACCTGCCACTGCCTCCTTCCCAAGCCTGGATCAGCTCCGCTGAGATCCCTTGGTTCTGCCCGTCTGTTCCCTGGGCACTGGGGTGTAGGGACTCGTGCTTGTTTCAGAAACACCATCCCGACCCCTTTGCCATGCTGTGAGGCCCTGGGGGCCGCCCTGAATTACCTGGGTAGGGCACGAGGCCATTGGCATACACGGTCTCTAGGGCAGGGTGTCCGCCGGGGAAGGGCACGACGCCTGCAAAGCCGTTGGTGATGGGAGCCACGAGGCCGGGCACGGCGGCGGTGCCCAGGAGCGGGGGAGAGTGCAGCCCTGCGGGGAGGGAGAGGGTCACAGGGAGCCCATCGTGGCCGGCCGGGCCCGCCCCTCCTTGGGTCCTGGTGGACTCACCGGAGGCAGGAGCGATGGGCGTGGCGGGCAGCCCGTTGAGGCTGACAGCGCCAATCTGCTGGATATGGCAGGGGGAGAAGGCCACGCCCGGGCTCAGGTAGCTGCCCGAGGTGGACAGGACCGTCGTCTGCTGTTGCATGAGCTGGGGGTGGAGAGGGATCAGTGAGCACGGTGGGGGTGACACCTGCCCTGGGGGGAGGTACGGCTGAGTATTTTGTCCCAGGCTGGGATCTGTGCTCAGTCGAGGTTCAGGACTTAGTCAGGAGTTGGGGTTCAGCCTGAGATCTAGGCTCAGGCTGGAATCGGGGCTCATTTAGGAACTGGAGCTCAGGCTGGGATCAGGGCTCTGTCAGGAATTGGAGCTCAGCTTGGGATGAAGGCTCAGTTAAGAAGTGAGGCTCAGCCTCAGTCATGAACTGGAGCTCAGCCTGAGATAAAGGCTCAGCCTGGGATCACGGCTCAGCCTGGGATGAAAGCTGGGTCTAGGATCTGTTAGGAATTAGAGCTCAGCCTGGAATCAAGGCTCAGGCTGAGATCAGGGCTTAGGAGTTGGTGATGAGCCCGGGATAAAGGCTTAGTTAGGAACTGGAGCAGAGTCTGGCATCAGGGCTCAGCCTGAGATCAAGGCTTCATCCAGGATCAATTATGAGTTGAAGCTCAGCCCGGGATCAGGCTCAGTCCAGGATAAGAGTTCAGTCAGGAAATGAGACTCAGCCTGGAGTCAGGGCTCAGCCTGGGATCAAAGCTCAGTCTAGGCTCAGGGCTGAGTTAGGAACCGGAGCTCACGCTGGGATCCAGGCTCAGTGTAGGATAAGAGTTCAGCTAGGAAATGCAACTCAGCCTGGAATCAGGGCTCAGCCTGGGATCAGGGCTCAGCCTGGGCTCAGGGCTAAGTCAAAGAGTGGAGTTCATCCTGGGGTCAAGGCTGCATCTTGAACCAAGGCTCAGTTAGACACTGGAGCTCTGCCTGGCACCAGGGCTCAGTCATGAACTGGAGCTCAGCTGGGATCAAGACTGAGCTTGGGATCAGGACTCAGCCTGGGAGCAAAGCTTAGTCTAAGATCAGGGCTTAGTTAGGAACAGGAGCTCAGCCCGGGACCAGGCTCAGTCTAGGTTTAGGGCCTAGTCTAATCAGGTGTTGGGGCTCAGCCTGGGATCAGGGCTCAGCCAAGGCTGGGCCTGGGTCTTCATCTGAGGTCAGGGTTCAGTCCTGGACTTAGGGGCTCAGTCTGAGTTGGGCCTCCACTTGGGGCAGGGGCTCTGCTGGGCCAGGAGCAGCCCCCAAGTTGGAGACCGAGGGACAGACGGGAGGACGGGCAGAGGCAGGCGCCCTGGACAGGGACAGGTGGAGCGGGAGAGGCCGAGCCAACCCCGAGGCCGTCGCGGGACCACTCACGGCCTGGGCGTAGGCACTGTAGGGGCCGAAGGGCAGGGTGAGGGACGGCGTCAGGATGCCCAGCTGGCCCACCATCTGCTGCATGCGCCGCAGCGTCCGCTCCTTGTCCGTGTCGGCGAACTTGACCACCAGGCTGGAGGAGGCCCCCTGCAGGGGAGGGGGCCAGGGAGGAAACCAGGCTGGGAGGGAGCCTGGACTCTTGGCCCCTGGGGGAGGGGCGTACGCGCCAGTGGCTGGCAGCCACGTCCACAGGCCCCAGCCCCGGAGCTGAGCCCCCGGCAAGAACTGCGTGGACAGCGGCATCCCAGGCCTAGCGGTTCCTGCACGGGTGTGGGCTCACAGGTACGGTGCCCAGGTAGCTGTGTCTGGGGCACAGGCAGAGGGCCCCGTCAGCCGCAGACTCAGAAGCAGGCAGAGTCCAGCTTCGGGAACACAGCGAGACCCGTCTCTACACAACATTTAGAAACTTAGCCAGGCGTGGTGGCCCCTGTAGGCCCAGCTACTCAGGAGGCTGAGGTGGGAGGATCGCCTAAGCCCAGCAGGTCCAGGCTGCTGTAGCCTGATTGTGCCACTGCCCTCCAGCCTGGGCAGCAGAGTGAGACCCCAACTCAAAAAAACAGAAACAAAACAGGCAAAGAATCCAGGGCCTGGGAGGAACAACGGAGCGCCCTGGGACTGACGGTCCCCCACATCTGAGAACAGGTGAGACTCCGGCCACCAAAGAGAAACCGCGGGGACACGGGCAGACCAGCCCATGACCATGCCCCTCACACCTGAGAACTGGCAGGGCATCCAGTTCTGCAGGTTCGTGGACCAGCCTGGGACCCACCCAGTGGACGGCTGTCACCAGCCACCAGCAGGGACAGGAGACCTGCTTTACCAGAGCACAGACAGAAGCCCCAGCGACGGCCGCCCCACACTCCACGACAGATAGAAGGTGCAACCATGGGACAGGCAGCACATCAGGATGCAGCGACAGGCCCTGGTATCGATGCCAGGACAGGCCTGGGGCCAGGGACCCAGGAGGCTGCCCCCACGCCATGAAGCTAGTTACACCTTGACTTTGGGGCTCCAGAGGGAATTGCCCTCCCCTTCAGCCGGCTCCTCCCTCCTCGGTTTTGCTGACGTAATCCCCCCTCCCTCTATCGAGTTGGGGTCTCACTCTGTCTCCCAGGCTGGAGTGCAGTGGCACGATCACGGCTCACCACAGCCTCGACCTCCTGGGCTCAAGTGACCCTCTCGACTCAGCCTCCTGAGTAGCTGGGACTATGAGTGTGCTCCACCACGCCTGGCTAATGTTTAGATTTTTGTAGAGATGGGGTCTCACCATGTCGCTCTCCTGCCTCAGCCTCCCAAAGTGCTGGGAAGACAGGCGTGAGCCACCGCGCCCAGCCTCCCTCCCAGCCTTTGATCTTGTCAGGTCCCTCCTCCTGGGGTTTCAGCAAATCCAACTCTGACCTCATTCTCTCTGGGACACCTGTGTGTGTGATACACACACAGTCACCCACACAGACTCAGACCCTCACCATTCCTGCTCACACAGACCCACACATACTGACACAAGCATGTTCACACACACACATACCGCAGATGTACACACGTACCCACCCCCCCATGGGTCAGGTATGCTCACGCAACACGCTCACACACATGTGCAAACACACACGTACACTCACCTACACACCACACACATTTGCACACATTGGCACACCTGTCCGTATGTACTTGCCCACCCCGTGGGCTCACGTAACACTCACCTACAAATAATCACACACACACGTGCACACACACTTTGCTCACACACTCCAGGGACCGGTCAGGCGTGTGCCTGGCTCCACCCGTGCCCTCTCTGGAGACAAGCTGGGGCCCTGATGGCAGCGATGGTGGAGGTGGGGGCCGTTTCATCCGGCCCCCAGCCCCCTCCCATGCCCGCCACCGCAGCCTGGCCAGCACCCACTCACCGGCATGGTCTGGCTTCCGTGCAGGGCGTGGATGGCCGCCTGGGCCTCCGTGTGAGAGGAGAACTTCACAAAGGCACAGCCTGCCCCAGAGGAGAAGAGACAGGGGTCACTGGACTGGGTGGGCCGGAGCCCCCGGGGAGGGGACAGGGAGTGCCCCGTGATCACGGCAGCACCAGACGCACACAGCCAGAGAGTTGGTATAACCACAGGAAGACAGGCTTCTGTTCAGAGACGGCTGGACAAGCACCCAGACCAAGGGTCAGCAGAACAGTCAGACACCCAGACAGCCACAGAGCCAGACAAGCGGCTGGTCCCCACACGTCCAACCTGCCGTCATTCATTCATTCAGTCCATCCAGAAGTCCGCCGGCCAGCTGTTCAGCTGGTCAGAAAGTGTGCTAAACCCCTGACCAGCTGGACAGAGTAAGCTAACAAATGACGAGGACAGGAGCCACTGACACGACAAGGTCCAGAGACTTGTGATCTGACGTGCAGAGTAAAAATGACAGACCACAGGACACACAGCCCTGAGTCAGGCAGAGACACACCCAGACAGATGGACCCCTGACCAGAGTGAAGACCACAGCCACCAGACCAGGGAAGTCCCAGAGAGACAGCCGCACACAGGCCGTGTCAGGTGCACAGACAACCGGGGACCGCCAGACACAGGCAAACCCAGACAACCATATGTCACAGGGACAATGTCCACAGCACCGACAGAGGCCGCCGGACACGAGTCAGGCCCATGGCGGGTGTGGGGCGAAACATTCTGGAACTAGATAGCGGTGACAGCTGCATGACTGTGTGAACACCCGAGAAAGCCCTTCATTGCACACATAGAAGGGTGAATTTGATGGTATGTGGATTACAACTCCGTTTCAAAATACCAAGAACCAAAACCATCAGACAGTTGAGTCACAGGAAGGAAAGAGGAGGGCAGAGACAGGCGAATGGGGGTCAGTCCCAGAGGACAAACCCAAAGAAGTAGACAGCAGAGACCCGGACGTGTGAGGAGCAGACACAGTCATCTGGACATGCGGTGGACAGAGGGTCACAGGCTGATAGACTCGGGCAGACCCAGACGAAAAGTTCTCTGGACAGACTCAGGCCGACGAATCAGAGACC